TCACTGGTTATGCCCCTTAAGGCTGCTGCAGTGTTTTTGTGGATCTGGATAATTGGATCTGGATGAGAAATAATGTCAATATCGCCGCATATCGTGAATTATTTTGTCCAGCTTCCCGTAGAAAAGGCCAACCAACTAAGAATCATTTTGTCTAAATCCTCCTTCAGTATGGTATGCCTAGGAAAAGTTCTCTAAAATTATGATGTTACTCGCCGTCAGTTAACTCAGTAGATATAAGTTTTACGGAGTTAGAAAATCAGACATAGTCTATATGTATGATCAGCTTCTCTTCGCGCTCTTAAAAGCTGCTTTAAAATCGACAAAAAGTGATGTGAATCGATTTTTTTCTTACGTGTCTTTTACAGAACTTTTGACAATTGGCTCGTTATATAGTCAATGGTGGTTTGACCAGTTCCAAACCTAATCTGTCCAATTAGTCTATTGACTGTAGGCTTTACTCTTTGAAATAGTACGCTCTATTGAGAATACTTATCCAAAGATAATTGGTGCACACAGCCGGGCCTCCTATTATAAGCATTCGGCAGAGCAGAGATTTAAATCTGATGCCTGCAACTTATGAGCTCTTCTTCACCTTATTTGCATAGCTCGTCCGGTACGCAAACGACTCACACTTGTGATCGCACTTGAAGCATCAAAATAGTCAAGGGATGAACATACTTTTTCTTGGCTGCCGATGAAGACGATCAGCCACAATCCATTTGGGAATGTTCCGCCATAAGAAGTGATATTGCTATCCGCCGATTTATGGTCAGTGAACCACGACACTAATACACCTTAGCAAATGATATATATTATATGAATTTCAGACCCCAAAAGTCTATGAGAGACTTCTAAAGAGACCGGCCAGCTCAACAGTAAATTAACCAGGTGGGCATTTGAGCTGAATACTATCGACATCCGGCTCTTATTAAAAGTTACTGTACTTTTTTCGGGGTACTTCGTTAGAAGGCCATCAATATCAATCCATACAGCCTGCTCTTCAGCCAGATCCTTTTCGGCCTAGTCTTTCTAGCGAGATATCCACCTCTTGATTCGCTGAACTAAGTCAATACCGCCGTATATTTCGTACAGTTTATCGAAAGAACGATACTGCGGTATTCGGCGTTTTCAACGAGCGAAAGTCCGATCATGAATTTTATGCAGAACCTTTTAAGCAAAAACTTCTACTTAAGGCTCATTAGATGATGCCGTTGTCCATGCCTCCGCCCCATATTCCAAGACGGGAATGATGGAGCGAATTGTGAAGTTTGGTGTTTCGACTTTACTTTTCAATTGCCTACTCAGTCCAAAGTAGCAGCTGTTAGCAAGAGGGCGGTTCGACATTGGAACTCAAGGCTGTCATTATTATTGGTATTAATGCTACACCCTGTTCAGGTCTTTTTATACTGTATTAGCATGCATTACTAATTCTCATCGAGTTGAGTTTGACTAATGACCTCTGAGACTAGGTAAAATTTGGTTTCCGAGTTGGGCAAACGGTTTGAATACCGTTCTAAGCCTACCTCCACATCATTCTCTTCCTCGAAGTGATTAATCTCTGCTCACACTGTGCTGCGGAGTTCGCACAGAGCGCGCACAGCGATAATTATCTTGCAAATCATATGTATTTGCAAGCAATCATTCCAACCGCTGAATGCGGCTGCTTCGCCTCTGCGTCGTATGCAATGTGTAATATAATAATAAAATAATTGAAAAATTTACCACTTCGCTACTGCTGCATCCGCAGCCACAATTGCCACAGTGTTCATTATAGTTGTTGTTGGCGTTTTCTGTTTGTTGTTGCTCTATAAATTACCTGCTCAATACTTGTGGCTGCCATGTTTAACACAGGACTGCCTCTGTGCCAGAGCAACAACAACCCATTTGGAAATACAAAATCGAATGGGAAAAACAACAACAACAACAAAAAATAGGCAAGGAAGAGCTACACTCGACTGTGCCGCAGGCTCTATGGCCTTCATGAACGAATATATAGGTGAAAAATAATCACAAATATAGTGATTAAAAGTCAAAAAATACTTAATAGCATTTTTACAGAGAAGTTTTGGGAAACATGAAAGCATTATAGTTGCCACCTGTTTGGATATATTAATTAAAAATCATCTATTATAAAGAAAATGAAGTAAAATAGGTGACATAGAGAGAGGAAATTAGAGGACTAGCTGTGAAAATAATATTTATATAAAGAGTGTTGCCACTTAAATTAATTAAACTATTTCGAAATGGTAATCAAACTCAATAGAATCGAGAAAGAATAGTTTTTGAGGGAAGTCAAAAATATTTCTGTAACTTTTCGTTCAATAAAATTAATTACTTATTGTGAGGTATTTCATTATCGTTGCCACATGGTAAAAATTTTTACAAATTTTTTTTTTTATTTAAATTTATTGGTTTTAAATGAATTTTCATACCTTTCATGTACGAGTACAAGAAATGTCAAATTAACTTTGTACCAAATAATCTAAGTATCAAAAGGAGAAGAGATAATTGATTAGAATGACGAGTTGAATCCACCGTCTCTTTGTGTGTTTGCATGCCAACTTGCCTTGTGAGCCTGTCAGATTGGACCACTGATGGATTTTATGAGGATCTTTGATTTTTTTGACAAAAAGTACTCCCGAAGGTTTTGAAGGGGCAAGCGATGAAATTTAATTTTCTTTAAGATTTGGACATTAGTCGGACCAAGGCTTGAATGTTGGCATTCGAAGAGCTAGAGTACGTAATGCTAACTGATTGGATAATGCGGCCATCATTTTTGGCGTATTTGTTCAGTTAAGAGGTTCTCTAGGAGTACCGTTTTTTGAAGACGGGTGACAGAACTCTTTAAAGTGTCTTTGTCGGAGAGATATCGGTGACTATAACTTTCTACATACAATTGCGATTTTCTTGAACTTCTATTGCAGCCACGGAGCTGAAAGAGCCCGTGCGCCATAACGCACAACAGTTGGAGCTGAGTCCATTCACTTTACGGAAGATTCTTCGGAAGAATATTGGTTTGCGGGCTTATAAAAACCAACTCTTGTAAGAATTAAAGTCGAACCACCATCGAACGCGGCCTATGTTCCAAAATGAGATGGCCACTGGTCTGAATTTTCTCAAGATGAAGCTCACTTGTGGTTGACTCAGTATGCTAATAAGCGAATTTGTTGCATTTAGAATGATGGTAGTCCACAGGCCATTGTCGAGATACGTTACATCCTCAAAAAGTCTCTGTTTGGTGTGCTCTATGAGCAGAAGGAATCATTGGCTCATATTTCTTCTAATATGAAGTCGGCCATAGCATTGTAGAACCATGATTAGTGACTTTTTCGTGACTGAAATGGAGAATGTTTTGTATGACCGACCTTTGGTTCCAACAAGATGGCGTCGCATGCCATACAACCAGCGAAACAATCGAAAACTTTTGGTCGCATCGTGGCTCTGTAGTGTGTCCTCAAAGAGTGTGCAATTTAAAGACACTGAGCAATTGTTTGTAGAGTCACATATGTGAAGTCGCTTGGCTACGTAGGCAAGCTTGAGACGAATAATGTCTTGGAAAAGAGAATATTCGGCGTGTTATCGCTGACAAGCGGAAACCATTGCTTCAAAAAGCGGTTGAAAATTGGGCCTATCGACTGGGATTTAGTAGAGACAGTAGCGGTCCTTTATTGTACCGTGATATTGGATGGGAATGTTAACGCCTTTGAGGGTATTTCTAACATGGAATAAAAAGCTCCTTATAAACATCCAAGAGCCGTTCGGAGGTCCTTCCATTTGTTGGAAAACACCTCAGGACGCCTACCACAAATAGCTCGGGAGTTAAAATAACATTTCCACCTTGTGAAAGGTATAAAAGCAATCAGACTATAGATTTAAATAAATACTCGTACATGCAAACATACATACGAGTATATACATACGTGTGTGTGGCAGTAGAAACAGTTCGCCCGCAGCTACGTGATACTCAACCGCATTTTTGCATTTGATTGACTCTCGAAGTAATAGTTTCAAATAATAACACACACACTGCATGGTGTAAGCTGTAAGCAGCAACAACAATAGCAACAATAGCAACAAAAACAATTGCTGATTTGCAGATTGAATTTCCCGTAGTCGGCACAAATTGATTGCCGATGTCGCATTGTTGCCACAATTGCTAGTTAAGGTGTACAACATCTTGTTGTAATTGTTGTTGTTCATGTTGTTGTTTTGCACATTGCATGCAAGTATGACATCTGTTTGGGTTGGAAAGCACACAGTACAATGACCACATTAACTAAAATCGCAAAGCTCTTGTGTTTGTTGCTGTTGTTGTTGTTGTTGATCTAGTATGACAATGTTGCCACAAATAAAACCGCTGCCACAGCAACCTCAGCTCGAGTCTCTTTCTCAACAAAACTCTGCACTTAATATAAGCCTGCTGTGGTTGGTGTTATTGTTGCCTACTTGATGCCATTTGATTCGATGCCATGTGACATGTTGGTCGCGCCACCCCACACAATCAACATTCAAGCAATCAACAATCAACAATCACCGAAGAGGCCCACAATAGCCGCAATCTACTTAACTAACTGACTTTTTAGCCGCACTCTGCTCTATTCTACTTTAGCCTCAGCTCGCTACGGCTGTTGTGGTGAGGTTGTTTGCGGCTTCGGCTTCGGCTTCGGCTGCGGCTTTGGCTTTGGCTTCTGTGCGATTATCTTACTGAATTACATAGAGAATAAATCGTGTTTACAATGTGGTCGCTTGATGGAAATTTGTTACTCGGGTTTCACAATTAATTACATTCGCCGATTTGTTCGCTATTATTGCCGCTTGACAATTTTATTGCTGATCAATTTACATACGTAAGTGAATGCATACATACATACATACATATTACAATCGAATAACTCAAACTGATTAGTACTAGAATCTTCTTAGCAAAATTGTAAAGTGAAACGATCATGATCCGGGCATACGCACATATGTATACACGTATATGTTTAGGTGTATGTGCGACGAAGAGCATCTGCAACATTGACTTTACAATGCTGGAAAAGCTATTAAAAAGATATCTGCCACGGAATTTTCCTACGAATCGCAGATGGTCCGGTCAAGCATCAGCATCATACTAGTAAAATACCACTTCGCATATTCATGCGGATTTCCCACTTTCGTGTATGAAGTTTTGTGGCCATGCTTTTGTGTTAGCTGTTACAGTTGGAAGGACGTATGATAGGAACGTCCATATCGTACATTCTGAAAATGTTTTTTGAGTTTCGGTAACCATCTTGTGACCGCAACAGTCGAGTGGCTAGCACAGCCTACAGCCATACGAAAGACCAGGGTTCGATTTCTGTTTCGAAGAAAAAACCATTATTAAATTCTCATAACTGCGGTCGCTCCTCGGCAGAGAATGTCAAACTCGCCGAGTGTATTTCTGACATGAAATAAAAGCTTTTTATTAAAATTTAACGGCCATTCGGTGGCGTCTTAGCATAAACTGTAAGTCCCTCGATTTGTTAGAAAAACATCACTAATTACCATCTTTTGTGTAGCCAAGATGGGGCTGAAATAGAGAGCTTTAGTAGTAAAGGTTCTGTTCAGCAGAGATGCGGTTGCGAGTAGACGTTGGTCTAAAAGCAAGCGAGTTCCTAAATACATGTGTCAACATGATCGATTTGCTCACAAGTCTCTTGATCCGTTCAATCATCGGACCGCGGTTAAGTCGATTAGTTTCAACTATTTAGGAAGGTCTCAAATAAATGGGCTGAAAATTAAGTTCGCCCACAAGAGTATGCTATGTGAATCGTGGATAGAGTCTTTCTCCAACAGATTTGCCCTCTTCCGTAGAAGCTGTTGTCAGCTGGCTATAGCCGACAAAGCAGCGAAGCTTATACAAGAAGTAAACTTGTTTCGTTAGGCGAATAGACTCTCCGAAGGCGCCAATATACACAGACTCGCGAAAACTTAAGATTCCCAATTTACAAAGCTTTTACTAGGGATAAAGAGGCTGGATTTCAGGCTGCTGGTAAGTTCGTTATCGTAGCATTGCCTTTTGGCGTCGCATGCTTTTAATATTGGTTTGATTGGAGACAACAAGTATATGAAATGTAGGCAATGTGTGGAAACAGTGGAGTACGAAATCTCTGAGTGTCCAACATTCGACAGGCCAAGAATCTATCCGATCTTCAATCGGTAATGGCCAAGGGGCCAAAACATCTAGACCAATTTGCGTAAAGAACAGCAAACACTAGATATACAATAAAGAGTGTAGAAGTGCAGCTTGGCCATATCTCTTGCGTCTGTTAACATTATGAACATAACATCGTCGACGTGAGACCCAATGGGTGTGCCAGTTAAGCCTAACCTAAGCTGCCTTCTTCCGTCCTTGTTTTATCTATCACACTTCCTCGAAAGTACATTAGTTCAGAACATTCATCGACAGATACTCTGAGTAGAATCATAGTTCTGGGTAGGTGTTTTAGACGTGGGGGCTTTAATGGTCATGCAAATAAATCGTATCTATTGTGCGGGAACCGATTGCGTACAAGATGGGTGTTAAGTTTGTCGCGTTAAAGTCCGGATGGGTACAACAAGTTGTGTGTACTACAGTATTCAAGTCTTAATTTTGCCAGTGCCACCACAGTCTAGGGAGGAAGTTTGAGTTCTTCATATGTTATAATCAGTAATTGGATTCCACATGCACCATTCACAGGAAGAGACTTTGAAATATTCTCTGTGGACGGCGGTTGGTTGTTCTGTCCAGCCATTATGTGCTGCTAAATCGAGTCCATTAGGTCAAGTATTACATTCCTTATATGGCTAGGTGGTCGGCTTTCAGTCAAATTCGGCAGCTCGTATCTGAGGCAGATTTGTGGTTCTAATTCAACTCCAGGACAACCGATTATATGCTCCAGAATCGGCAGCTTAGCTCCATTTAACCTTTTGTATTTTTTTCATTAGAGTAGTGCTTGATGTGGCTGATTCTAGCACAATCAAGCAATGTGTGAAGTTTAAACTTTGAAGACGTTTCAAACCACCGACAAGGAAAAATTAGATTTTTGACAGTGTCGAAAAAAGAGCTAGAGTAAAGAGAAAAAACATTACCTTTACCCAAAGAAGGGCAACCTATCGCATTTTCAGTGGATCAAGTTGGAATCCGAAAGCTTGAGACTTGTTAAAAGTTTGACGATTCTACGATAATAATTCGATGGATTTGAGAACAAAGCTCTTTCCGGTAGAAACGAGAAAGATAAGGAACATGCTGATTTTATAAAGGCAGCACTTTTTAGGCCTGCACACCGCACAGATAGTACCAATGTACTATGACGAAGCCGAGGGCTTACGGATTAAGCTAGGTTTCGGAAAACTGACAAAGTGGATCCCCAAAACTTGGATAATAATCTCAGCGGTACCCACTGCTCCAGGCAGAGGGAGAGGAATATCTATACTCCTTTGAAAGGACCCTGTGGAGAGCAATCTGGCTTCATTTGGTGTCTCCAATCATCTTCAAAGAAGGGAGACCTTATTTCCGTTGGTTTGGGACCACTATTTACCAGAGAACAGAAACGAAGGATAGCGTTGTTCAGAAAGCAGTCACACTCTTATACGACAACATTGTTTTAAAAGTTCAATTTATTTTAATGCATGCCTACATACAGACATACATATAAGTACATGGGTATGTTGCAAGTAAGAAGAAAGTAAAATTTACGAATGAAAATCTAATGTAAATCAATTCCAAAACGGAATTGAAAATGCAAGAAAAAAGAGATAAATGGAATAGTCACAAACTTCCAACACACCCGTTCATACATGCAAACTCGTATGTGTACTTAATGTTGCAAATATGCATATACGCACATCATGCAACCCATCAAATAACATACTTGTAACCGCTCGTCAAAGCAACATTTGCATTTTCTATCATTACATTCATACCATCATCATTTCATACAATATACTATGTATATATGTAAGCACGTACATATGTATGCACAAGTATGCAGGCATCGCTTGGTCTTTGTCAAATACATTTTAGTCACTTACCTCGACACGGTCCCGGATATGCGACGGCAATTGAACGTCCACTTTTACAAATCATTCGATTTATATCACAAACACTGCGATATGTCTTGCCATCGACACCGCAGACAGCTCGCGTCGGATCAATTGGCATTGATGCCATCGCAGCCGCATCATCTTCAGGGCAATCAATTTTACAGGCAATACAGTGGGGTATTGTATATTGATCTTCGACACATGTGTGACCGTTCAGGCATTTGACGCCATTGCAGGAAGCTGGAATGAGAAAAGAAGTTGTAGAAATAAATAAGTGAGGAGAGAGTTAAAAATTATGGAGCTACTCAGGTCACAAATCACAAATGCTTAATGGGAAATTCCTTCAAAATTCTATTTAAAATTAAAATTATTGCTTTGGACTTTTGATTATTGGAAAAAATTGGTGAAGGAACTTGTCTTTTGAGTTGATTGGGTATTTATTTCCATGCTAAGGCCAAGAAACCCCAAAACAGAGATATTTCCTCTCTTTTACTCAGGACCGTCAATAAAATTTTATATGCGATCTTGACTTAACTCGCATGCTTTCAGCCATATTCTGCAAAACAGCTGAAGCATGCGTATTGTAAATTTTCATCCAACTTCTCATGCTCGTCATACTCACACATTTTTTTTTTGTACGCAAATGTGTCTTGCTCCCCTCTTCAATTCTCGGTATCTATCCGACCCCACACGATCTGTAAAGAATGTTTTTCTAGTGCTTCGCTCAAGTTATGGCCAACATAATCCGCTTACTGAGCGCACTTTTCGCGTGAAGAGTCGATTCCGCGCCGTTCACAGCAAGTCGGACCGACGAATGAAACGCATCAATCAATAGGTTTATTGAGAGAACACTTCGGTGAGTAGATAACTTCACGCTTTGGACCGGTCGATTCTCTACCGAGATCGTGTGATATCACACCGTTAGACTTTTCCTTGTAGGGAGATGTAAAGTTAAAGTCTATGCGGACAATACCGCTTCGATTCAGGCCTTGGAGCAAAACATCACGCGTGCCGTTCGCCAATTACCAGTCGAAATGGAAAATTGGATTCAATGGATGGATCATCTGACAAGTAGACGCGGGCAACATTTGAAAGAGATAATGCCAAAGAATGTGCAATCGAATGATAATAAATATTTCCCATTGAATCAAGGTTTTCTGTAATTTTACTATGCCATTCTATCATTGTCTACATCGGCGTCAAAGAAAAACATTCATGGCTCTGAATGGGAATGCTTTACCTATGGTGGAACCAATGGGTGTCATTTACTAAAAGCTGCTAAAACCAGGAAACTATTAATGGGAAACGTTTCCGACTTCAACGAATGCGTTTGCGTGAAAAACGGCCGGAAACAAACGACAGCCATGGCAGTGTGATTTTGCAGTATGATAACGCTTTTGGCCTTTTCGATAGCTGCAACACGATGTCGGGGGACCGGTGCGGGTCTAGCTCATCTGGAGGATCGAGAGCAGAAAGAACTACTTTGAATGATGATTTTTTCTCCCTCTTTTTCAACAAAACTGGATTTCAGATTATTGCTGCTGTAGTCCAAAGTGTTGAAGAAAGCCCAGGTTTGCCAATTTCTCGTTGTTCTGTGGAATGCACAATTCTACAATATTTTGCAAAGGGGCTTGGATCATAAGGCTTATAAAGATCAGTTAACTCAAGAACTTAAATCGGCCGATCATCAACAACGTCGAGACTTAACCTGTTGGGTTCTTGAAATGCATGAAAATGATCGCCGATCATTTCACCAAAAAATCATCTTGACTGATGAAGCCCCTTTCCACCTCGAAGACCACATTAATAAGCACAACTGTCGCATCTAAGGCTAGAAAAACCCAAGATTTATAGTTGAAAAATCTCTCCATCCTCAACGTGTAACTGTTTGGTGCGGTTTATGGTCCGGCGGGTCATTGGACCTTGCTTTTACAAAAATTAGACCAAAGCGACAGTTACGGTTAATGGATTGCGCTATGGAGAGATAATTAATGATTTTTAATGGCCTGATAATAAGCTGTGAGGTTTTCGAGTCTAGTCGGCTTTAATTAGGTAATTTAATTTTCGGCCTTATTCACTTCGTCATGAACCAAGTCTGCTGTTTCTTTCGCCAGAGTAGTTGGAATGACCTGTAACAACGAGTGGTCGACGGTTTCGTATTTTTCCAAAGTATAGTAGATCTGGAAACTATTTGTAAAGGTACCAAGCACATGCAAACATATGACGGTCTATCATGCTAGCGTCAATGTCATCATAATTTTGCCGATAGGTTATCTTTATAATATTATAATTTTCCGAAATTTAAAGCTATACAAATTCTACCATAGTGTGTCAACCAATGATTGCAAAAATACCTCAACTGAATCATTGGTAACTTAAAACTCATTGGGTTAGCAGAGCTTGCGTTACTCTGTTTAGTACTACTCACCAAGTCCATATAAACCCTTTTGGTGTAACCACCATCAAACCGTTTAACTAATTGGTTTTAACCCCCACGACAGTTGTTCATCAAGACATCATCATCAGCGTAGATACCACCATAGATGAACCATATAGGTATTCCTTTGCCAGCCTAGTATAAAGTAGTGCTAGTTGCAGACGTGAGCTCCTCACACGGTATTTCTTTGGTAATGTCACATAAGGCCTGCCCGTATTTAATGCTAAGTTTATCAAAATGAGTTCGCTTTTCAGTCAGTGCTTGTTATTTTTTCCAATTTTCTATAAAATGGATTTGTCTCCATTTCGAACCCCATTATGAGGTGAAATTCTGAATTTACTCAGAAATTCCAAAGCCACATTTTTTAGAGGTATTGGCTCTCATACGTCACACCAAAATTACCTAGGAGACGGTCATTTTGACTGAAAAAAAAATAAGTTTCTTCTGTAAGTAGCCGGTGAGGGTACCACATTTTGGACATTTCACTTCACAAGACATTCTACTATTTCTAGAAAAAACAATTAGCGCGAAGTGTGACTAAGTACGTCACAATTCACACAGAATACCAGAACGAAACAGAATAATAGGTCACAAACGTATATATTTTTACTCAATACATACCTTTGATGTCCATCACAAAAACTAAGATTGAATTCTTAATTTTTGTATTTTCTATTAATTTTAAAAATTTTCCACAAAATTCACAGTTGTCACTTGAAAATGGCGGAAAGGATTTGGCCTGCAGTAATGAAAACTTTTGTTAGTTTGACACATCTCAGCTGAGCTTGGCTCATCGGATATATTAGTAATCGCTTCAACGGAGCTAAATTAGCCATTTATTAATGGTGGTCGCACCTCGGCAGGATAATAAAATACCAACAACCGTTCGCAGGCGGCTTAATAGGTCCCGGTTACATAGCGCCAATTATATATATAAATTGGTCATTTCTCCCACAGTTCGGAGCTACGACGTGCCACATAAGCAACAAAACTAACGATATTTTACGAGAAAACTTTTCAGACCGTTTTATTGGAAACCGAAAATTTCGCGACTTATTCCTTTACGGCGACGTGTCAGCTAAGGCCAACGTCGACTCAAAATTTCAAAAATGGAATTCGTGAAGCTATTGAGGGCATACAGCAGACACTTGGCGATTTGATGATGGAAGATAAGCGTAAGTTTGGTAGGCATTTTGCTGATATTATTTTTCAGTCTTAATGGCATATCAAAATAAGACCTCTTATTGGAAAACCCTGTACATGGTAAATGATTTAGGAGCCCCCGCTTCGAGGTTAGATCATGTCATAATATTAACTTTGCTTCCGCCGTTTTCTGATAAGTGGCTGTACCGGCTGAGGCTGTTGTTGTTGTTGTTGTTGTTGTAACCGCAAATTATTCCCCGAATTGGTTTTCGGGGAATATTGCGGGAGTGACAGTCCTTGGCCGAACAAAAATCCGGATCGTTCCGGTATAAAGACCCGACTGTCGCGGGAACTATTGGATTTTAGTCGCCTCTTACGACAGGCATGCCTTACCACGGGTAAATTCTTAAGCCCCTAACCTGCAGGGGGAGCTGAGGCTGGTTGAAATACACAGATGATAATGCCTTTAAAGTAAGTGTGGACAGTGCCTAACGAATTGTCATCGCCGTTTTCAGTGACAATTGTTCTTGTTTTCGTATTATTCACCCTCGACAATGTCCGTTTATGTGCCTAATTCTCGCCGCTTGCGGGAAGTTTTACTTTTCTGTTACAATGCGAAAAAAAATGCAGCTGAAACGCATCGGAAACTTACGGTGATGCTGCTCTGAGTGAAAGATCGTGCCGGGAGTGGGTTCAACGTGTTAAAAATTGTGATTTCGATGTCGAAGACAAACATGGTGGTGGAAGAGAAAAAACCTTCAAAGATGAACAACTAGAAGCATTGCTTGATGAAGCTTCGTGCCAAATCCAAGAACAGCTTGCTGAATCATTGGGAGTGAGTCAGCAAGCCATTTCAAAACGTCTCAAGGCCCTGGGCATGATTCAATATCAAGAGCGACATGACAAAGTCATCCTCCAACACGACAATGCTCGGCCTCACCTCGCCAAGTAGTCAAAAAGTACCTGGAAACGCTGAAATGGGAAGTCTTGCCCCACCCGAAGTATTCCCCAGATGTCGCCCCTTCTGACTTCCACCTATTCCGTTCGATAGCACACGGCCTGGCAGATCAACATTTTCAATCCTTCGAGGAATTGCTTCATGGACAGCGTCAAAATAGGACTCCATTTTTCGAGCCGAGATCCGAAAATTGCCGGAAAGATGGGAGAAAGTTGTCGCTGGTGACAATAAAGCTTTTAATTTTGGAAAAAGAACGGCGGAAGCAAAGTTGTACACCTGATACAATTTCTTTCTTCCGCCTTGCCAGTAACCAATGCTGCGCTACCTTATTTGCGACTCTACCGAACTGTGGCGTGAAACTTTTCGAAATGTAAAATTTTCTTGCTCGCCGCCGCGGTTAACCACTGTTAGACCAAGTTAGACTTGTTGCTTGTAGGCAAGAATGTTAAAGACCGATTACTATGGAATTAACGCCAAAATATTTGTGTACATACGATAATAAACTAGCTGCATAAATGTAATGTAATAATAGCAACAACAAACAAACACCAAATAACGAGTTGCTAAAAATAGCAATAAAGTTTTCCTTCTACTTCTTTTCGTGGTGATTTTTCCTCAGACACACATATATATACATATACTCGTATATGATCGCTCCAAATTGTATCATATTACAACAACAATTACACACAAACAGCGAAAAATTAACGAATGCAAAACCAATTGACAACAACCAAATGACAAAAATAAAAGCGAAAAATCAAAAAAAAAAAAAGCAGAAAAAAAGCAGAAAAAAAGCGGAAAAAGCGTTGAACAACTAGTAAAACCAGCGAATCACTCGTTTGCAACTAATAAACTGTCAAATTTATCATTGAACATTGCCAACGAAGCGGCAACGCCTTGGCGCCATCTGTGACACCAACAAAAATGCAATATAATTTTTCATGAAATTATTTTACGCATCGTAGACGATGAAAAGACAGACAGACGAACAGACGGACGGACGTACAGACGGGCGACAGATACACGGCCAACAAGCCGCAAGTGGCATACAACGTGTTTTTTCTGCTGCTGCTGCTGCCTGCTGTTGTTGTTGTGGATTTTCTAGTTGCTAATTGCAGTGGACATCATTTGTGGCATGAAGCTGGTTTAGCACAACGCGCGCTGTTGCCAGTTGTTGCCAGCTGTTGGTCGATTGTGAGTTGGCGACAATGTCCACATCGGTATATCGATTGCCGGATTTGCTATATACAACTGAGATTTTTTTATTATTATTTTTATTCTTATTCTTGTTGTTGTTGTTTTTGTTGCTGCTGCTATTTGGCGCGTGGCACGAGAGTCAGCATCATTAGTTGTTGGCGACAATAATAACAACATTTAGTTGAAAGTTGTTGCCGTTGTTGTTGCAACAGTAAAGACACGTGCTAAATGTTGCTTACATGCGCCCAAGCATACACAAGGCTGTACGTGCATTCTGCCCACTACGTTGTTGTTGCTAAGCGTTGAAAAAAATTCCGATCATTTCAGATTCAGTTAAAAGTGTCACAAGTATTTTTCCACATGGAAAATTTCAAACTCAGTTTGGCATTTGCGGCTGATCTTTATTAGCCAATTGTGCGCGAAGCAGGACGTTCGATCGTTCGATCATCCAATCGGCTTCCTGCTGCATAAACATATGCAAATGTGCGCGAATAGACAGCCATGGGCAGCGCTTGCTGGCATTTTTATATGTAGTCGGCGTCAATACTTAATTTATTGTTGTTTTTTTCCGTGTCTCACAATGGACTTATGTACATATATACACCTGTGCGGAAAGTTATTGACAGGTGCATTGGTGAAGGCCAGCATTTTGGCATTTCCTGGGTCTTGGCGTTTGACCACTTATGCTTACTGTCTGAGTATTGCATTCGGCTAAAATCTCCGAGAGCTGTTTTAGAATGATAAAATTGAACAACTCAGCCGTAGTGGGTTCAAATGAGATCGCCTCTCTTCACAAAAACGCACTTTTGACCTAGTCCTCAGTTCGAAATATGAAGTGAAACCAGATTACTCTTTATCTGGTCCTTCCAACGGAGTGGAGGTCTTCCTCTGTTGCAGCCAGCTGGTACTGTATCGGAAATCTTTAAAGCTGGAGCGCTTTCATACATGCAGACGGCATGACCTAGCAAGAAGATATCACCTAGAACCACTCGTACCGTTCATCGTTCCAACGTTTGGTCATAAATTGTTCGCAAAGTCTTTAATCTCAAAAACAATCAGGGCCGTCTCATCGGATGTCGACACCGTCTACGCTTTAGCACCATATATCAGGAAAGGAATGATGAGTGACTTGTAGAGTTTAGTTTTAGGTCGTCGGGAGAGGACTTTACTTTCCAATTGCCCACTCAGTTCAAAGTAGCACCTGTTGGCAAGAGTAAACCTGCGCTGGATTTAAAGGATGACAATATTATTGGTGTAAACTAATTACGACCTTGAAGTTTGCGACTGCCAACAGCGAGATGGGAATGCGAACGCGGTTTGATTGATGACAGGAATAAGTATTTCATTTAATTTCTACTGCTTGATGGCAGTGAAATTACAAAACTCCGGAGTTGATGATGGAATTTGGCAATAAGCTATTTTTACTCTTTGTACTCTTAAAGTATTAAAAGCCATCTTCTCTGCAGGTTATGGTTAAATAAAAGCTTGCTCGAGAGTTACGTGCACTGCCCGGTCTATAAGAAAGTGAAGTACGCAGTCTGAATTAATTACTATGGAGTTAGTGGTCATATCCGGCTTATTATGGGCAAATCTAAAACTCAGCGTCAACAAATTGATCGGGCTTTAAAAGTATGTATTTATATCTATCAAATTCAAAAGATGCATCCTTTGGTGGATTTGAAAGCTACCTTCGTTATCACTAAAAGGAGCTGCCTCTATCCTCTGTGCCCTGAATTTGGCATTCCCGCAAAACTCATACCTAACCAGGAGCGTAGTCAGAATTGGTAACATATTAGGCAGTGTGATTCTCTATCGTGCAACTTCCTCAACCTTTAACCTTCTTCATGATGGAAGAATAATAAGAACTGCACAACTAGATAAAGGAACATTTTCCTTTTTCAGACTGAACCAGGACTCCAACCCTGGCCATCCGAGTGGCAGTACGCAATGTTAACCACTCGAAAATCGTGGTCGCGAGTCTAAACTTAACTGGTAAATATTCATGAAACAGATATATATGAGGTCAAGTAAAAAGTTCTGACGGTTTTTTTATTGCTTTTTCAAAATATGATAACTTTGTGTACATTCATTATACCCCTTTCGTAGAAGTTTGCGTCCCTATTGGCAAAAAACTCGGAGAGCCAATTTTCACAGGCCTCTCTTGAGGCCAACTTCTCACCATTAAGCGCGTTCGCCATGGACAGGAAAAAATGGTAATCACTTGGTGCCAGGCCCGGACTATAAGGTGGGTACATTAGGACCTACCATTCGAGCTCCTCGAGCTTCTGGCGCGTCACCAAAGACGTGTGGGGCCTGGCGACCTGACCTCTTTTGGATAGGTGCTGCCTTCAAGCGGTCCATTTGTTGGCAGTAGAGGGCCGAATTGAGCGTTTGGCCATAAGGGAGCAGCTCGTAGAGGATGATACCTTGTCAATGCCACCAAACACACAGCAAAATCTTCCTGGCCGTCAATCCGGTAGATACCTCGAACTAAATTTCTATCAAGCTACGATTACTTACTGAATGAGCTCACTTGCCCATTCAAATTTAACAACTAAAAATATTATTCCAATAAAATAAAACCTATTATCTGGAAAGTAACAGTTCTTGGTAGGATAAAAATCCCAGTCGTTCCGGTATAAAGACCCGACTGTCGTGGGAATTACTGGATTTTAGTCGCCTCTTACCACAAACATGCCTTACTTTGAGTAAATTCTAACCCGCAGTGGCTTTTATTTGTTATTAACCAACGTAGATAAGCTTGGCTTATCTTTGATTTATATTAGCACAAGCTTCCCCTGGTCCTTATGCCAAGTTAAAATAAAAATTGAAAATATATTTATACTCACTTCGACAATGTCCTCGATATGCAACAGACAATGTTGGATTATTGGTGCGACATGCGCGTTTCTTTAGTTGACACTCTGTGTTGTAGGTGCGGCCATCCGTTCCGCAGACTGGATGCGGGCCATGGAAATTTTCTACCTACGGGAAAAAAGAAATATTAAAATTGGAACAAAAATCGAGGAAGTCAAAATAGATCTTTTGGATTAAACTAAAATTAGACAATAGTTTACGGGTGCCTAGGAGCCTTAGGAAGCTACACCAATTCTAAAAGAACAATAAACTGTGGATAAGCAGCGAACTATGCTGAATGCGGTAAATTTCGCACACGACGCGGGTTACCTCCTCGCTCAACAAAAGACCTGTTAATAACGATTTTCGAAGAGAAGAAAGCCGAGAGCAGTTGGCGCAAGGAAACCATATTATGCAACCTGGTCCGACGTATGTTTTTTACTCTTTATCGACGAGTAACCGGTTATCCATTAGCATTCGAACTAGCATAATAACGGACCCTGTTTAACTCATGGAGGATGAAATGTTTCTCTAATGATAGGTACCGCAGGTAAAGGGTCATCGAAAAAGAGGAATTGGTAGAACATTAAAGAGAGATGTCATCAAGTATCAGTGCTCTTTTATAATTCTCATAAAAAACACCAAATAGTTTGAGCGTCTAAGAAGGTGTGTAGGTTCTTTCCAGCTAGCTAACATAGATTTGATAGTGTATCAAGATTAGTACTCTCTGCTTCGTACTATGTAGTTATTGACAGAGTATCCCAATACCAAAAATAAACTTCAATTTAACCTTCCATCGTTGGTAGGAACAAATGCGTGGATCTAAAACCTCCAAATCAATAAACCCTTCCGACTAAACACTTCAAACTAAAACTAAAACTGCTTTGCTAGCGCTAGTAGATTATCTTACCAAGAACTTCAATATAAATACTTATGTATAGTCGTTCAAGGTTCGATATAAGATAGATTTCAAGTGTCCAGTGTCGGATGCGAATGGAAAATTGTTTCGACCTGCTTAATAGGTCTTTTGATTTTGTCGTGTCATATTTGGCCTAAATCTTTTTGATTATCTTACAGTTGGATTTGGTCTTACATCTATTCAGTGTAATTTGTTTAAATTATAATTGAAGACTTCTCTTAATCATTCCGAACAGATAGGGTAATTTCTGCGGTTCAGATCCGTCCCAAAATGCTCCCAACTTTGTCAGCTCGTTCGCTTTCTTCGTTGTTGAAAATGTTTCTTAGGCTGGGGACTAGCTTAAAACCTACAACTGTTGGGTTGATGAGGTTTGTATTCACCATTGGTGACGATAAAGTCACCCATGGCACCTGTCTATCAGAGTATATGGTTATCTTCTGTATTATCCAAGTACTTCCGGGTGACTGATGCTAACTATATTCGGTACAGTTAAAGGGAAGAAAATTTTAAGCCTTTCGGAATGTGCCCCCACCAATCGGTGTAGATTGAGATTGCATCCTACTTTCCTTATTCTGTAGGGTATCTATATCTAGTAATAGCTTCTGAGATCTAGTCTTGGAAGGTTATGTATAGTCCGATCTCTGTGAATATGTTAGGAGCATTCACAAGCATAAATGAGTTTGTACGACTATTAAAAGTGGAAAAAATCCGTATTAAACCCTTTTCTGGCTTGGCGCATGTACCTAAGTACATATATCCGTAACCAGCGGTCATCATTGTCCAAATATGTATGTATTTATTTCACTACTGCTCTGGTAGCCACAGCAGCTGTCTCGTGGTTAGCAGTGCGTGTTGTTATGCTGATGAATTAAAACCCTCTTAGAATACTCTTTGTAACAGCCACTAACCCCGTTTAGAGGCAGACTTTATAAGTCTATGCCATCGAGGTCAAAAAACGCGAGGTCCAGGATACGTGCTGTTTACGACGGTTCGATCCGAAGAGAATGGGTGACTAGTTGAGTTGCCTTTAAGGGGCATACATCTCTCTCGATAGCCAGTACCAAGCAACTGAGTTAACCCGGATTTCGTTCAAAGGGCTGTCACACTTTTTAGCGCACTAACCTCGTTTAGGTCAGCAGGTAATATTAGAACCATCCTTAATCGAACCATCTGCAGCTGTTGGTGCATCTGATTACCTGGACCTTTCGTTAACAATCACTAATTTATTAACTCCAAAGAGTCATGGACGATGAGTTTTCCGTTTTTAAACTTAAGTATTTCCTTCCTCATACACAAGAATCGAGTACACTTAAATGTGTTACAATCAGAATATCCGCATGCATTAGGAAATCGCACATAAATACACGAAGCACAATAATGTTTAGCTACAAAAGAGGAAGCAACAAAAGAGGAAAAAAATCAGAATAATATAAAATCAAACTCACCGCTACTTCGAATTGGTGATTCGGGAAACCATAAATATTGAAATCATCATAAATTCCCTCCAAAAGCGTCGAGTCATCGGAATTAAGAGATGATTTGCTAACGTCAGCAGAAACACCTTCACCGCCAAAAAACGCTACAGACGGCGACGATGTGCCGATTTTGTGCTTCTTTATTGCACCTCCTAGCGACGCGGTGGAGGAGGAGGTGGAGTAGGAGGAGGACGATGATTTAGCAATATGACTTCCGTGATTTAATAAACGACGATCATCAGATGACGGCGACATGGAATTTACGGGAGTGGTAGCATCTGTTGTCTGCCAATCGAATGTTGTTGTCGGTACAACAATTGTTGTTGTTGCTGTTGCCGCTGTTGTTGTTAGTGCTGCTTCCAACGTGGCTGTTGCCGACGAGGTACGCGTGCGCAAATTGTTATTGTTGTTGTTGTTGTCGCTGTTATTGCCATTGTGATCCTTTAGCTTCTTGTGCTTCTTATGTACGCGCTGATTGTGTTGTTGGCCATTTGTTTGCTGATGTTGTTGTTGGTGCTGTTGCTGTTGCTGTTGCTGTTTCTGATGTTTGCGTTTACGTTGCTGATGGTGATGACGTTCACGTTGTCTACCACCGTTGTCCAAATTGTTTTTGCCTTTACCTCTGCTGCCATTGTTGTTGTTGCTGGGACCATTAACATTTAGTGTATCGCCTGCTGGCCGTAATACCTCTCCATGATTTGTTGTTGCTATTGCTGTTGTATCGAGACGTCTGCTATTTGATGTCAGGCTTGGTGATGACGATGCTGGAGCTGGTGCTGCCGCTTGAAAACGTCTTATTATAGCGAAATTATTGTTGTTGCTATTCTCCTGATGGCGCTTGATGAGCTCCATTTCATTTTCATGTTGTCGTCGTTTCTTGTGATTTGAATTTTTATTTGTCTTATGTCTAGACGGTAAACTCAAGCCTCTTCGTGACTCCAGCGGTGACGGTGTTCTTTTTGCTGAATCATCGCTACTACGCCGATGATTGCCCGTCGATGCATCACCAACGCCACTGTCATCCAACCAATCATCAATATCACCATCATCATCATCATCATTATCTTCTTCGTGTGCCACATCATCATCGTTGTCAGCGACAAAAGTTCTATCCTCCTCATTCGCATCGTCCATGCTTTCATCATCGTCACCGTCATCATCGTCATCATTGTCGTCATGGTCTCCATTATGGAATTCATCATCATCGAAATTGTCTCGTTTGAAATTGTTGTTCTTGTGATGTTTTCTGCTGTGCGTTCTTACGTTACTAAAAATCTGTAAACGTCGTTGGACGGGTTTCTCTGTGCCATGTTCGATGTTGGCCGTTATTAAAAGTCTTCCCGGTTTCTCTACACGTCTAATATTCATTAACTGAGGCTTCTGTTGGCTTTGTTGTCGTTGTTGTTGTTGCTGTTGCTGTTGCTGTTGTTGACTTTGCATAATATTTATCATTTTATTTCTTTGGTTTTGGTTTTGAATTTGTTGTATTTGCTTTTGGTGTTCAACACCTAAATTAATATTTGTAATTTCGCTACTTAAACTACGTATGTCACGTGGCGACTTGCCCTCAGCAAAAAGGGTGTCCGCCACAACTTTTCTATCACCCGCAACCATGCGATCACCACCTCCAACTCCACTAACAGCGAATCCGCTGCTAAAGAACTCACTGCCCAACACAATGTGCCGATTCATTCGCAATTGTTCGCTATGCGGTTCGTGTCCACGATATAGCTTCGGCTGTGCCCGTTGCTTGTGTCGCTTAGCCGCTCCGCCACATTCTGGCGCACAGACACACTTTGGACGGCCCTTGCGCTTGACACACTTTTTATTCCAGCCGCATTGCATGCTCTTGCAGCTTACTAGTTTGGAATATAGAGAAAAAGAAGAAGAAGAAGGGATTAAATAAAGAAAGAAAAATAAATAGACAAAAACCGAAGACGAAAGACGAGTTTAATCATATAACTTTGTTTTCCATTTACTTACAAGCACAAGGTGAGCAGGTCATGCCATCGCCAACGGTTGTTGAGAAAAAGAATTCCACATCCGTAACATCTCTGTCTGTGTAGAAAAGCTCTGGATAACGACAACACTCGGTTTTTGTGCTGTTCCGCAAATAAATCTCACTGCACTTGCCATTGCTTTGGGAGGAACGCCAGCAGGCGCCGGCTGAAAATTAAAATAAAGGTAATAGTTAGGATAATGAATTTAATAAGAGACTCTTTCTTTTCTGCGATATCTCAAGAGCAGAAATAGAAAGAAAATCCTCTTTCATGACGTCAGTACAACACCTTTTTGTAGTTGAGTGTTAGCTGCAAAGACTTTGGCGGAGCTACTACAACTTAATTGAAATAGTTGGTACCTTTTTGATCTGTGTACACTAATTCCTTCCCTTTCTAGTTCGTCTGCCATGCAAATGCTTTGGATGCCCCTGTATCAAGGTACCCAGGCCACGGCACGTCGTTGAGAGTATTTCAACAGTTTATGACCACTTTTGACGTGGTTCCGTTACATGAAGGGATCTGATCTCATAAGTCAAATCATATCGCTTTTGGTAGGTACACCTTTCGGGAGAACACCTTTGTCAAGCCAGAATTATTTTACTCGTTAATTTACTCTCACATACATTGCACGCTTCTGCCAAAAGAACCAAGGTAAGAAGATTTAGACCCGCCGACGGGTAATGCTAATAAAGTATAGCCAAGTGAAAGAATATTATTTCGACAAGGTACGCAATTCGTCCCGTACGACATGACTAAAACCGCTCCTTCGCGGAAAACTTCATTTGTTGGAAAAATATCAAGCCATAAAACCACAATCTAAAGGAGGAGCTTCGATTCGCGAATTGTAGGGTAAGGGGAAATTAAAACAGAAAACCAAATTATATTTCCTTCGAAATATATTTCCCCGCAAAACGGATACATTCTTCAAATGTTTAATTAACTTTTTTACCCACTCCGAAATACTCCGAAACATTCTTCTTGACTTCATCATCCTATATAAATTTACGACTCCTCAGCTCTTTTTTAATTTTTGGAAACAGATCATAATCACTCGGAGCCAGGTCCGAACTGTAGGGTGGGTGATTCAAAATATCGAACCACACCTTGCGAAGAGCAGCCAATACAATAGCCATATTGTTTTGGCGAAAGGGTGAGTATCCTCGGCACCCTCTTGTGCCAACCTTAGTCATGCCAAGATGATCGCGTAGATTTTTTAAAGTGGTTTTATCGGATAATCCAACCATTTCTGCGAATTATATCCTTTTTAGGAGAACATTGTCGAGAATAACTTTTGGAGCTTTTTCGATAAGTTCTGGCGTGGTCACCTCGATGATTCTGCCCGGTCACGGCCTTCATAACCGCACAATATTCGAATTTTTTCATATCTCAATTTTCACTGCCGATTATTTTGCTTCCATGACCATGGATCAAAGGCTAATAGTTTAGTAATAGTAAATATTTATACTAACTATTGGCGGCCGCGGAAGCCGAGTGGTTAGCATTGCGTACTGACATTCACCAACATCCAAATTAAGTTAAATTTTCTAATTGCGGTCGCCCCTCGGCAGGGAATGTCCACCCCTTGAGTGTATTTCGGACATGAAATAAAGGCTCCTGGTAAAAAAACCATTAGCCGTTCGGAAGCGGCTTAGTATAAACTGTAGGAAAATTGGAGGAGGTGCCCAAAAACAACTTCAGCGGCTATAAAGCGCCACTTAACATAAGCCACTTTTCAGGTTACTATCCTAATCCCAATCACCACCCACCAACCTGTAAACCTCTCATTCCGTGAACATAAAACTGACTGACTAGGTCATATCATCCGAATAAATGAAAGCACTCCAGCTTTGAAAGTATTCGATGCAAAACCCGTCGTTGGAAGCAGGTGAAGAGGAAGACCTCCACTCCATTGGAAAGATCAGGTGGAGAGCGACCGGGTTTCACTTAGTATTACCAACTGGCGCCAAACAACGCAGAGAAAGTACGAAAGTTCAGCAATAATCGCGTTAGCGGTGCTCGCGCCAATGAATAGGAAGATATTTTCAGATATTAGGTATTGGACCGAAAATCCGTCAAAAGAGCATCTAAGAACATGAAATTTGGTATATAGGAATTAATATTGATACTGAAAATCTACGAAATCGACTTCTTTATATTTTTATATTATTTTTTTTATGCGACCTTTACCGTCCGATCCGAAGGAATTAAAGCAATAATTGTGTAAATATATGCGTGAAAAGGAAAACATATATGAAAAATATGGGTAAAAATAAACTAATTTGCGTAAAATAATAAACAAATTACTTATAAAATTTGCCGACCGACGCAGTGGCCAAAGCGTTTACGAGTGCGAAGCGTAAACAAGCGTGAAGGCGCGGTTATTAATTCCCACGCACGGCTGCCAATTCATCATCGCGTAGCAATTCATAGAAAATCAAAATAGCCGGCACCTATTCGCACACTTAGGCAATAGATACATACATACAAACAAACAACACACATACTTATATGCTGATTTATTAACACAATTCAGGATCATTTCTAATGCGTTGGTCGTAAGTGGATTTTATTGATGCTGGACATTTGCAGCGCTTAGCCATAGACCCTCTGTTTGTACGCAATTAAATTGCCAGCTTGTCTATTTATCTATGTATTGTATATACTTGTGCGTTTCTTTGGGTTAGTCTATTTTTATAGAGCTAAATACAATGAAGAGTGGATTAACTATTTATAGCTGGGAGATTTCGCGGAATTCCCTAATTTGTTATTGTGATAAACAGATTGTGTTCGATGCGGCGTTTTTCGATTGAGAGGAGAAGATTGATGGAGGGAATAAGACAATAAGTTCGGTCTAATGGACAAGAAGATATATAAAAAAATTGTAAAAGCGTCTAAGTCGCTTGAAATGTGATATGAAAGAGTTCATAGAGCGTTGATAAGTTACTAAATTTCTAAGAAGAGTAAAATATTCGTGGACTGCTGGGCCTATCTAAAACTAAAATCACACAAAAATTCCTTGCTTTAATTCAATTAGCTTTCCAAGAATTCCACAGGTATCCTGTTAAAAATTTTAACTTAAGTTCTTCTAAAGTTGTTATAATTTCAACGAAAAAATATCTTTTTTATGTGTCATTTAAATGGGAATCTTTGAAAATCCACCAACATCTTTTGAAATTGGGCAAAAAAATACCGGATTGCAGGGTGATCTTTTCTCAGTAAATAGGTTCACGTTACAGTGAGTTGTGGATCTCCCTTTGAGCAATTATAACACCTTCTAAGCAGAACTAATTGTAATAAGAGAAAACGCTTTGCGGATGCTTCACATTCAAAGATGTGCCATTCCATTATGATATACTTTGTAGGCTAAGTTGTCTTTAAGTCTCTATTAAGAAATGCTACACGACTCGCCTAATGGGGTTGTGCGCTGAGCTTGTGACCAACTCCAATAAACGCCTCGGATGAGATTCCCTACTTCTGATGATGACCACTGCAAACGTATTAAGGACTATGATGAACTATGATTTAAGGGCAAGCCCTCGGTATATTCTATCCCTTAATTGAGAAGGTCTTACGTCCTCGTATGACTAAACGCTGACATCAATGCCTTCTCCATAACAAAAAACTCCCAACCAAATCGAACATGTTATGATAGACAGCCGACATTTCATGCCTCCAGCATTCTTAACGTCCGGGAAGTCAAAATCGACTCGGATCACTCGGATCTTGCCGCAACAAAACATGTACTTTCTTGTATACAACAAAAAACGCCCGTCAACAAACACAAAAACAGTTTGACATCGAGAAGCTTACCGACAGATGCGGCGACTTACAGAGGGCTATAAGATCGGAACAAAATCATGTACGACACAGAGAGGGAATGAAACAACAAATGCACAGATTGTATTGAATTTATGGAGGGAACACTTCTGCAGTCTGCTGACTAGACTGCTGAATGGCAGGGAAAATTAAACACTAGGAGATGGCGGAACCGATTCCCCAATCGATGATGATAAAACAGATGTTTCATAGCTCTACTATGAAGAACTTCGAATAGCAATTGTCCACTTGAAAAACCACGAAGTGGCGGGGGCTGATGGATTACCGGAAGAGCTATTCATAGACGGCGGCGCAGAAGCTGATTTGATCGGTCTGAGCGATCGTGGAGTAAGCCTCCTCAACAAACTGATTGGACCTTATAGGCGTGGTTTTAGGCCTAGAAAATTTGTAACTGAACAAGTACTCACCATACCCCGAAGTGAGGTTAAGCAAAAAAAAAAAAATGTTCCATCAGGATCGGAAAATAATACTCCGGACTGATCGATATCAAAGCATGTTTCAGACAAGGTGACTCTTTATCATTAGCCATTTTTAACCCATCGCTGGAGAGCTGAATGAAGAAAGTACAATATTCTATAAGAGTGTACACTTGCTGGTGTAAGCCGAAGATATTAATATCATTGGCCTGAGCGACCGCGCCGGGAGTTCTGCTTTCTCCAGACGGGATAAGGAGCGTACTGGTGTGGTAGTGAACGACTCTCGCGAGATTCAGCTCCCATGCAATTTTTTGTCATAACTTTGAAGGTGCAGTTAATTTCGTGTCTCTTTGGAACCAGTATTAACTTCAACAACACAACAACAGGAGCTACTTTCGACTGAGCAGGCAATTATAAAGCAAAATCCTCTCCCGGCGAGCGAAAATCAAACTCTAAAAGTCGCTCATACTTCCATCCTGCCCATGGTGCGGAGGTATGTACGATGAGCCGGGGTTGGGAATTTTCGAGGGAAAGATTTTGTGTGCATTGTGAACTGCAACAAAGGCAGCCGATGGAACGATGAAGAGATATACGGTATGGTACAGCGTATAAAAAAACAGCGGCTACGCTGGTTAGGTCCGGATTGATAAGAATTTTCCAGCTTTGAAAGTTCACTCTGTTGGAAAGACCGTGTAGAGAAGGATTTGTCTGTACCTGGATTTCTAATTGACGCCAAAGCAAGAGAAGATGTAATGAATGTCACACTGTTTTTAACTCGAAGTAACCGGTGTCTTCGCAAGTAAAGAAGAAGAAGAAGAGATTCTCCGTAACTTCATCTGTAAGGAAGATTTTACATTCTTGCTTTTATTGTAACTTATAAAATATAAGAAAAGTTAAAATATACGAAAAAGTAAGGAAAGTCTTCCTCATGTTAGTCTAGGCAAAGAGCTACATGTATATCTACCAGATATCGAGTTAATCCACTTGATTCCCTTCCAGAAAGAAAAGTTCTCATTAAATTGACCATGACGAAGAGACACCTACATACGAGTGTGTCCCACATATCAAGTAAAGTCGAGCTTTCGAATCGGCTTCAGGCTCACACCCCATATTAACTTAGACCTAAAGGTACATCTGCAGCGATAATTAAAATTTTTTTTCGAATAGGACAGTCTAGGGCTACTTCCCGGAAGTCTACTCTTACTTAATTTCTTTCTTAACTTGTGCACACTACTATTATTGTTCCATCTATTTTTTTATTTATTTTATTTTTTTTTGTTTGTTTAAAGTTCACATCTCTAACCAACCAGCATTTCGCTAATGTCTCATAAATGTCCGATTTGTCTGAATTTGTCCGCCTTGACATGACGGCTGAAAATCAGTTAAGACATCAACGTCACTCATTGCTTAAGATGGAAAGGAAAAAAACACACGCACAACAGCCATACGCGCTAACATCCTAATTAAATATAAATATATATATATATATGTACACACTCGTATGCATGTATGTGCATTCGCACAACATTGATTACTCACCATCAACCGGCGGCGTCGCGTTGAATGCCAATGCCATAAATAATATTGCCGCCAGTGTTGAGAGCATATTAATGCGTCCATTGCTGCTGCTGCCGCTGCTGTTGTTGGCTATGGCTGTAGTTGGCGATGTGTGTTGCAATTGTGAGATTGTTTTTGTCGTTGTCGTTGTTGTTGTTATTGTTGTTGTTGCTGGTGTTTTAGTTGACAGCCTTGCGACCACCGGCGATAAATCTTGCCAATTGCTGTCATTGCCGCGACGGCTGAAGAAGCTTCGTCTGTTTTGATTACCCACAATGCGCCTACTTATATATATGGCTTGCTGTTGTTGTTGTTGTTGCTGCTGTTGATGCTTCTGTTCTCGCTGCCGCTTTGCTCGCCGAGTTTGGCCATTGTAAGCACTCATTTGTTGTTGTTGCCGCCGCCGCCTTTGTCTCCATTGATGAAGCATCGCTTTTTGGCATCGCTTGCTTGACACTTTATCATAATTTCGCTGTTGATGGCTCGTGTCATCAAAGCTCGCATCACCACCGTCACCGCCACCGCCATCGCCACCAACAACAATACCATCATCATCATCTACATAACTGCTATAATGCATTAGCGGCACACGGCAGCTCTGACTGCGGTCGTTTGTATGGCAAGTTGTGTGCGTCAGTAGATTACCGACAAACAAAATAAATAATTTAAATATTAATTTAATTTCACATTTTATTCGATTAGTGCTGATTATTTGATTAATTGCATTCTTTAATGTATTTTTGGCATTAATGCAACTCTCCTCCGCCATTGCCAGCTTCACCTCCTGCGCTTGCTCGCCCGCCAATGCAGTGCGTTTCAATTGCTCAACACCCTTTGCGTTCGCATTTCTCATGCTTGTGCGGTATCTGCGTTTGTATTTGTAGTTGGATTTGAGAAATGTTAGTGTATGCTTTGTGCTTTTTGTATTCCTAACACTTTTCATAGCAGACGCATTTTGGCACATTTTCACTAGTTTGCGGTATTTATGCGGATTTTTCTGTGAGAGTAAAGTACTCACTTGGTTTTCGGTCGCGTGAAGAAGTCTTAATTTAAAGTAGACTCATAATCAACACTGGAAAGAAAGGAGAAATAATTCAATTTTTAGATATTCGTGAAATTATTAATTTTTTCAGAAAGTATACAAACAGAAAAGTCTTTTTAATAAAACCAAAAGAGAACGTGGATATTATTATGTCCATAAGTTAGGTAATGGGGTAACAGCTGTATGCTGACCAACTAGTCCGGCGAGTGTCCGGCCTTCAGCCGATTGAGGCGTCACATCTATCACGATGTTCCCTACTGGAAACCTTCGGCGGTGGGTATGCATGGTTGGACGAAACTAAAACAAGTTATAAAATCGAGTGATCTTGGGAAGTGTTTAATTCTTCGGGAATGTATTGGTTGATTGGTTGGTTGAAAGAGGTATGTTGAGGACTTCAGGATCATTGTATACACGTGGGTGTATATCGATCTCACGATCCTCACACTATTTTTATACTCCGTTGTGCATTAATCCCAATAAATTATTTTAATTTTTTTTAATTTTCAGCATCGGAATTTTATGAGCTTCTTATCTTCCACCTGGTCGGAAATTAAATTTTTTAAAAATATAATAAATAATAAATAATGAAGAACGAGATTCAAGCCAAAGAGAGCAAAGGACCTGCTCAGCATGTGCCTCCTAAAGTAATTTGTCAAGACAAAATTAGGCAATGGTCCGATAAAAAAATGTTCTGGATATACGCCCAACGTTTGTGACAAATGCGGGGTAGCCTTGGGGTACACATAGAATAAGAATTGATTTAGGAACTTTTAGTACTCTTAATAAATATAAAAAAAATAAAAAAGAAGTCCGAAATTCTGTGTTTCTAATTTTTTCGTAACAAAACCGAATCATAAAAATTCAAAAAAAATCAACTTGCATGGGTGACAGAGGGTTAAAGATGCGAGCCCACGCACTTCCGCATGAAAAGAGTGCACCACTAACCACTAGGCTACTGCGGCCGAAAATACATTCACAACAGAACTTTCCAAAGTTCCATTACCTACCATTTCAATGAAAGTTTTAGAAATGTTTATTATGTGGATCCACCATTTTTTCATGTCATCTAATTGGGGGAAAACATCACTCTTTGGCATTCCTCAACAAATTAATTAAGCTGGCTTTTTTGAGAGATAAAAATTGAACGTATTGAATATTGCACATTCCTTTGGAAATTTTTTAGTATGTTGGTATGTATGTATGTATCTCTGTAGCAACATGTGTTCGAGCCAACTTTGATGACTTAGTAAAAAAGCTAAAGCCAAGAAGTCTCCGCTAGAAAAGGCGCTGGAAGTAAACACATACATACGTATGTATGTATGTAAGACAAAAAGTACTATAAATCCCAAGTCTACACCTAAATGCAGTAATAAAGACCTGCCAGCCAAGGGCGTGCGTGCATGATGCATGCAAACAGCCGAGCGACACGCACTCATGCACTAAGCAACAACAATAAGAACAGAAATAGCCAAAGCTCAAATGGTTGTGACAAAAATAACCCTCATCAACGACGTCATCATCAAATGCAGAAAACGCACATACCCACTTACGGTAGTCTGTGCTTAAGGCTGTGTGTGTATGTGTGTGTGTGTGTGTATTGTATTTACTTTTGCTATTGCATTTACTTTACATTTTTCGCGCCAACGCATGAAATTTTGCGATTGAGTAGTGAACGGTCAACCGGTCTAAAGGCCGGCCGGTTGCTTGGCTGTACATGACTTGTTTTGACTGCATGACCGCAGAGACGGACGACGGCAGCTGCGCTAAGATCTCTGACCATTGCAACGTCTGCAACCAGCGAACCAGCTAGTCAGCTCGTCCCTCAAACGGCCTAGCAGTGCCATTCGCATTCGATTCTGATAAAAAAAGTAAAAATGCACACTTTTACATTTCCTCGTAAACAATTAACGACTTACTTTAGTGGCTGTACAGCAGCGGCCAGACGTAGGGAAGAATTCACGGACGGACGATAGGTTTTGATCGTTCATAAGTTGTAATAAGACGATGACGGTGTCGGACGTCGGACGTCGGCCGTCCATAATGTGCTGGTTAAGCAGCTTTCTTGGTATATACCGAAAATTATTGCATTAATACGGAGCCAGCAACACGTTAGCCTGGTATTGCCCAGGCGTTGACATACACACACACACACGCACAACTATAAATAAGTATATGAACATACGCATATGGTCAACAAACACCAACGCATTTGAGCACGCGCCAATGGTCATTCGTAGGCCATCCAGTTGAACAGACAAACATTGTTTGGTTGGTTGGTTGGTTCGCTAGTTGACTGACTGGCTGGCTAGCTGGCTGGCTGGATGGCTGGTTCACTAGTTGTTTGTACGTTAATGTATGAATGTTCATTTGTGTTGCAATCAGCCCACATGCGTCTGCATTTACCTGTATCACCTCCCTTCCTACGCGCCTTGCTGGCCTGACCCCCCTCTCTCTCTCTCTCGGAGTTTTCGGAACGCTCGGTCGACTGGCAGACCGATAGTCTTAGGTATGTCCGTGTGTCCGTTTATCCGTTGTCTGATGACTATTCGCCTCCTCATTTTGCTTGCATAGCGTACGCTTGGTTTATGGCATTCCAAAAATGCTGCTGGCCGCCAATGAGCGCACTTTTGCCGCACGTTGTTGCTATTTTTAGCTTGACTGCTGTTTTAAGCACATACATGCCATTGCACAAACACATACATACATACATATATATGATCATATGAATCTATGTCTGTACGCCTAAACAGCTTCATTCTTGTTATGATTCAGACTTTAGAATTTCGAGATATTTTTTGTCTTTTGACTTTTGCTGCTTTCGAGTCTCTTTCACTGGCCATGGCACTTTGCAAAGCCAAAGAGTGTGCTTTTTTAATTTAATTTTAATTTGTTTTATTTTCTTTCTGTTTTATAATCATAATTTTATTGCTTCATTTTAATTTTTATTTATTTAATTCTATTATTTTTTACTCCAATTTAATTTATTTTATTAAATTTTTGAATTATTCTGATTTTTTTATTTCATTTTTTTATTTAATTTTATTCTAATTGATTTTAATTTAGTTTCTTGTCTTTCCTTTTTTGAGTTTTCTTTATTCTTTTTATATTATTTTATTTTCTCTAATCATTTTACATTTATATTTTTTAATACTTATTTATTTTTATTGATTATTTTATTTCATTTCACTCCATTTTTTTCATTCAAATTATTTTAAATAATTTAAATAAATTTTAAATAAATTTTAAATCGATCATTCCATTTGATTCACTTTAATGCAGTTTAATTTTTTTATTTTCCTCCAACCATTTTATGTTATAATTTTTTAAATATCTTAATTTATTATTATAATATTATTCCATTTTTTGAAGTTCATTTTATTTTATTTTGTTTAATTTAATTTAATTGAATTGAATTTAATTTTATTGAATTTAATTTTATATTATTTTAATTTATTTATTTTATTTTATTTTATTTTATTTTTTTTTATTTTATTTTATTTTATTTTATTTTATTTTATTTTATTTTATTTTATTTTATTTTATTTTATTTTATTTTATTTTATTTTATTTTATTTTATTTTATTTTATTTTGTTTTATTTTATTTTATTTTATTTTGTAACTTTTTCTTAAAGGCAGCAGTAAGGCGGCCGCAATAAGCATTGCGTACTGACATTCCGCTGACTAGAGTTCGAATACTGGTTCGATCAACATCTAAAGTAACAGAAATAGAAATTTGAAATTAGGAAATGTCTACCCTCCGATTGTATTTCTGATGTGAAAGTTAAAGCTCTTCATAAAAATCCATTCGCCGTTCGGAGGCGGCGTAGAATAAACTTTCAGTCGCAGCATTAGCTAGAGAAACAGCAGTTACAAAACGCTAGTTATATGCAGTATAAATATATATAACTGGCTATACATATGTATATATATCGGGATGTTCTATGCATGCACATAAACCACAATCCATTATCTCTATGCTCAAGGACGTTGCATGTGCTTACGGAAATCAAATTAGAATTGCCGTGCATCCTGTTGCATATGCGTCATAAAAATACACAATCAACAGTATAAATAATACTGAGAATAAAATGTAACAGCGCCATAGATATAGCAGTACAACCGTAGCAACAAACAAAATCAACTTGAGTCACGTTCCATTACCTCTCCGGCGGCGACAATACATACTCGGCTTGTTGCATGCAACAAATAAGCAAACCCAACAAGCAGCCGTAAAGTGTGGAAAGGACAATGAAGCATCATTTTCGGTTACAATGAGTCTTTTCTAACAATTGTTGCATGTCGAAAGCTGTCTGTCTGTATGTCTGGTGAGATGTCTGCAAGCAGTTACAGCAACAGCAGCGGCATATGTTGCTGCGGATAAGCCACATCTGTATGTGTGTTTATATGTGTGTGTGTATGTGCTTTTAAGCCAATATTTCTATTCTTTTGAGTAACACTCCTCCGTCCATATTCCACTTCATGCTTCTGTTGTTTGCTATTGTTGCTGCTGCTGATACACCAGCTGCCTAACGTTGTTGGTTGTTTTCCAGGAACAGCAACAGGTTCTCTATTTTTATATTTTCTTAATCTAGCACTCAAACATTTCCTGCTCGCCAATCGTCAATCTGATTCCATCATATTTTTTATGGTCGCTTTTCGCTTTTATTCTTCTGTTTATTTATTTGACGAGACTTTTTCTTTCGATGGCACTTGAGTTAGATTGTTGTTGTTTTTAATTGTCTGGTTGTTAGGTAATGCTGTCGGCATTTCCTTACGATTCGGTCAAATAATACGGTTAAATTCTACTCTTTAACTTTGAGATAAAAATGTGTTAAAAAATATTAAGCTCTTTTTGGCGGTCTACAGAGGCCCTATTGTTCGTCAGTCCAGCTAGAGAACTAAACTGAATTTATAAAAATTTGTTGAAGTGAAAACCTCATCCAAGGTCATAATATCGCCCCATCGGACTTCTTTCAGCTGGCATATGCTCTAACCTGTGCACGAAAGTTCGATATAAGATCTATCAAAT